GGATGGCAACTGTCAAGCTACATCTCAGCAAGCCTGACACTTGAAATCATGAAATCTACATTTCGTGGCAAATCTTGAATAGTTGAATGTGTATAATGTGTATCTATTATTCTGTATAGATATATATATATACACACACATATTCATATGAGGCAGATAGGCTAATGTGCTTTGCATGTTGGACAAAAGCACTGAACAAAACCAAGTGGCAGCACAAGTCTTTACAGCCCCGGCTTTCTTGAAAGCAGAAGCATCCGCTGCATGCTGCATGTCCTCTTGCAATTTCAACAAGCTCAAGTCCTGCCAAAAACAATCACAAACGACATGTCATCAAGAAACCCGAGACAAGTCCCCGCTAGATTCCCCTAGATGTCCCCAGGACAAGAGCTGAATTCATGAACTTCTTGTGACAATTGCCAGGGTGCTTGTAATGACACCTGCCTGCCCTCCGGTGTTCCTATTGGATCCTGACATCTTTGTGTTCTGCATACTCCACCTGGTTTGCTTGTGCTTTAAAATGAAAGTGGAGATCTCCTGATGCGTTGGCTGCGATGGATCTTTTGTTGAAGTCTCCATAGGAAACTCCTTAAACAGCACAGCCACTTTGAACCGCAGCATCTGCTACAAGTGAGAACACTCACGCACAAGACTCAGACTTATTAACACTCGGATGGCAACTGTCAAGCTACATCTCAGTAAGCCTGACACTTGAAATCATGAAATCTACATTTCGTGGCCATGTATAGACAAATCAAAATATTGGCCGACCCCAGCCATCAGCATGGGGAGCGAGTCTCTATGATAAGCAAACTACTTTTGCGAGGGCAACCCTTTTCAGTCCAAGCATGTTTTGCCATTTTGGGCACTTTTTGGTGGATTTTGTTGATTTTTTGGTGGGTGCCAAAGGCCATAACACTGTAATTTACAGTGTTTTTGTGCCTTGGGCATGGAAAAAGTACTTCTTGCAACATGATGAAAACTGCGTAAATACCAGAAGTGTTTTTGCTGGGCATTAGCCAAAAAAACGTGTAAATACCGTGATTTTGCTACCAAAGGCAAAAACATCGTAAATACGGTGGTGCTGGGCTTCCGAGGCGCGAAAAAACATCGGTATTTACGGTGTTTTCTCCAAGTCTCTCAACAAAAAAGTGAAAACGCAACCTATTTGACATTTTTTTGGTCACTACAAGACTCAGAAAAAACTGCAGGGGTAACAACGACAACAACAACAACAACAAACAACAAACAACAAACAACAAACAACAAACAACAAACAACAAACAACAAACAACAAACAACAAACAAGAAACAACAAACAACAAACAACAAACAACAACCAACAACCAACAACCAACAACCAACAACAGAGCAAGCGGGCGACACTCTGGGCAACAACAGCAACCCTTCGGGCATCCCCGGTGTGCAAAGCCCACAAAAAAAAAAAAAAAACATATTAACATACATATTCATATGAGGCAAATAAGCTAATGCGTCAACTGCCACAAGTGCTTTGCATGTTGGACACAAGCACTAAACAAAAACAAGTGGCAGCATCAGTCTCTGCAGCCCCAGCTTGCCCGACAGAAGAAGCCTCCGCTGCATGCTGCATGTCCTCTTGCAATTTCAACAAGCTCAAGTCCTGCCAAAAACAATCACAAACGACATGTCATCAAGAAACCCGAGACAAGTCCCCGCTAGATTCCCCTAGATGTCCCCAGGACAAGAGCTGAATTCATGAACTTCTTGTGACAATTGCCAGGGTGCTTGTGAATGACACCTGCCTGCCCTCCGGTGTTCCTATTGGATCCTGACATCTTTGTGTTCTGCATGCTCCACCTGGTTTGCTTGTGCTTTAAAATGAAAGCGGAGATCTCCTGATGCGTTGGCTGCGATGGATCTTTTGTTGAAGTCTCCATAGGAAACTCCTTAAACAGCACAGCCACTTTGAACCGCAGCATCTGCTACAAGCGAGAACACTCACGCACAAAACTCAGACTTACTAACGCTGGGATGGCAACTATCAAGCTACATCTCAGTAAGCCTGCCACTTGAAATCTGCATTTTGTGGCCATATATACATAAAAAGATAAATACATAATAGACATATTCATATGATTCAAGCAAGCTAATGGATCAACTGCCACAAGTGCTTTGCATGTTGGACACCAGCACTGAACAAAAGCAAGTGGCAGCATCAATCTCTGCAGCCCCACTTTGCCCGACAGCAGAAGCATTTGCTGCATCCTTCGTTCGCTCTTTAGTTGCATCGTTCTGTCAAGTTTCTGCCAGTGTTGAGTGTTGCTGTGTTTCACAATCTCTACTGCAGCGGTTCTTCGTGATCTTGTGACTTTGCAGCACATGCTTTAAGCTGGATGGGGGTTGGTCGCATCAAGACGTGACTGCAAAATGTGTTTTTTAGTGCAGCTGACGCGGAAACGCATCCAAGTCACCCCAACACCTGTGACAACGTCTGGCAATGACCAGGTCTCTGTTGGGACACTGATTGATCCTCCTGTGAAACCCTTCTTTGCCGTTTAGAGTTTAGAAGCAAAATTCATTCTACAACTCATGAGCTGCCACCCCGGACAGCAATTCGCCTGAATGGGCTGATGCATGCCTGAGCGGTTAGCTGGACGGTACTTGACACAACAGGCTGGAGCATAGGGTGTGGATGGTCATGGACCATGGATGGTCTAGTGCATGACTAGAGACTAGAGGCAGAAAATGTTGGATAGATTCCAAATTGGTTTGAGCATTTGGGCATTTGGGCATGATTGTCCTTTCAAGCGCATTCAACAAACAGGAAAACCACTGCATCCATGCAGCAAATGGCGCAGGCCCTCCAGCCAGGGTGCATTTGTTCAAGGAGGCGCCAAAGCTCACCATGCTCTCCTCAGAGGCTTTCTAAGCTTCGGTTGGATTTGTGTCCAAAGATTTCTCTCACCTCAAAAATTAACCTTTTTGGGCAGGCATCAAGAAAAATTAGTTCAATCCTTTTCCGGGAAATCCGTTGCTGGCAATATGATGCTGTGACTTGTTGGAAAGGGATCGTCATTGCAATGCCATCATCGCATGCATCCCCGCTGGTCTTTGCAGCCAAGCTACCATCAGTTTCACAGGTGTTTGCCTTCCACCACTCTGCATCCTCTGATTTGTCTGCCTGCACATGTGGAGTACTTGAAGTTGCAAACGCTTGGCCAAGTCTGTCCAAAGAGGAACGGGGATTTGCAAGAGTTGTACAAACTTGGTGATTACCAAGAACGCTGCAGAGTAACTGAGTAACCATCTTATAAAACCCAATGACTCACAGACAAACACGGGACCCCAGTTTGGTTGCCCATCTTTGATTTGGACTATAGAGCTCATTCGTTGCTTATCAGGGTGCCAAAGCTCAAAGACAACAAATTCGCCAGAATGAGCTCTCCTTCACCGGCTCAAAGATAGCCCAACTTTGACACACCGGAGGCATCAGCCACACTCTTAGCATCTGTTTAGAGTACATTCAGTACATTGAACAAACTCGAGCCGTCGTAGGCACCGCCATGACTTGAAAAGTTCACTCCAAAGAGCCCACAACCCAATCCTTCACACCACAGAACAGCTTCGAATAGCTACACCCAATCATGCCACCAAGACACTGCAGCTTGCTCTGGTGACGATCCATGAGGTGTGCTCGTTGGATGCTGGCTTGTTTCCAGAGCCGGTTGGCTCCCTGCATTTTGGATCCCTGCATTTGCTTGGCTACAAGCCTTTGTAGCTTCAGCGTCCTGACAAAGATGACGAAAACACTAGACAAGAACTCCGAAGTCAGACACGCATCAACACTATCTGAGACCTCTGATGAGATGAGATGATCTCGTTTCAAAAACGTTGACAACTGCTTCATGTGTTGTTTACAAGACAAAGAATCAAACCCGTCAGGAAACCTTCTGTGTGTCTACGTGTTTGGAGCTCAATGGTATGAAGCTGATCCTGTATAGATGCAGCCGGCTGCTCCTTCGCAGACTCGCTTCGTTCATCTACTTGTGACTGCAGCGGCATGGCTTCTGCCTCAACACAAAGAGGACAAGGGCCAAAGGACTTGGAAGGACTTATATAACCTTATATAGACTTGGGCTTGGTTGGACTCATTCAGTCGTTTCTCAAGATCCAGATGTGAACTTCAAAGTGGAAGTATGAATGCTAAATCGTATCATACCATGGACCTTTGGATTTGACTGTCTCCAGACGGCTCCTTGCCAACGAGATACTTGCACCAGGTTTGGTGATGCAGTTGCAGGCTGTCCAAAACATTCAGAGACATCCACGGTCCCAGCTGCTTCAGGTCTTGCTGCCACTTCTGCGTCCTACAGTCAAATCCACGGATAACAGGAGAAAGAGAAATCCCAAGGATTCAAGATTTAAGAAACTCTGCTCTCCGACGACACTGAAAGTTTCATGTGGAATTTCATAGCTCACTCACAGCACTGAACCGATCAGAACTTTCTGAATGCTCTCTCCTTTGCCAGCTCAAAGATAGCAGCACTTTGACACACCGGAGGCATCGGTGAAGCCTTGTGCAGTGCTGCATTACATGCAACGCTTCAACAGCCACACTCTTAGCATCTGATTAGAGTACATTCAGTACATTGAACAAACTCGAGCCGTCGCAGGCACCGCCATGACTTGAAAAGTTCACTCCAAAGAGCCCACAACCCAATCATTCACACCACAGAACAGCTTCGAATAGCTACAACCAATCATGCCACCAAGACACTGCAGCTTGCTCTGGTGACGATCCATGAGGTGTGCTCGTTGGATGCTGGCTTGTTTCCGGAGCCGGTTGGCTCCCTGCATTTTGGATCCCTGCATTTGCTTGGCTACAAGCCTTTGTAGCTTCAGCGTCCTGACAAAGATGACGAAAACACTAGATAAGGACTCCGAAGTCAGACACGCATCAACACTATCTGAGACCTCTGATGAGATGAGATGATCTCGTTTCAAAAACGTTGACAACTGCTTCATGTGTTGTTTACAAGACAAAGAATCAAACCCGTCAGGAAACCTTCTGTGTGTCTACGTGTTTGGAGCTCAATGGTATGAAGCTGATCCTGTATAGATGCAGCCGGCTGCTCCTTCGCAGACTCGCTTCGTTCATCTACTTGTGACTGCAGCGGCATGGCTTCTGCCTCAACACAAAGAGGACAAGGGCCAAAGGACTTGGAAGGACTTATATAACCTTATATAGACTTGGGCTTGGTTGGACTCATTCAGTCGTTTCTCAAGATCCAGATGTGAACTTCAAAGTGGAAGTATGAATGCTAAATCGTATCATACCATGGACCTTTGGATTTGACTGTCTCCAGACGGCTCCTTGCCAACGAGATACTTGCACCAGGTTTGGTGATGCAGTTGCAGGCTGTCCAAAACATTCAGAGACATCCACGGTCCCAGCTGCTTCAGGTCTTGCTGCCACTTCTGCGTCCTACAGTCAAATCCACGGATAACAGGAGAAAGAGAAATCCCAAGGATTCAAGATTTAAGAAACTCTGCTCTCCGACGACACTGAAAGTTTCATGTGGAATTTCATAGCTCACTCACAGCACTGAACCGATCAGAACTTTCTGAATGCTCTCTCCTTTGCCAGCTCAAAGATAGCAGCACTTTGACACACCGGAGGCATCGGTGAAGCCTTGTGCAGTGCTGCATTACATGCAACGCTTCAACAGCCACACTCTTAGCATCTGATTAGAGTACATTCAGTACATTGAACAACCTCGAGCCGTCGCAGGCACCGCCATGACTTGAAAAGTTCACTCCAAAGAGCCCACAACCCAATCATTCACACCACAGAACAGCTTCGAATAGCTACAACCAATCATGCCACCAAGACACTGCAGCTTGCTCTGGTGACGATCCATGAGGTGTGCTCGTTGGATGCTGGCTTGTTTCCAGAGCCGGTTGGCTCCCTGCATTTTGGATCCCTGCATTTGCTTGGCTACAAGCCTTTGTAGCTTCAGCGTCCTGACAAAGATGACGAAAACACTAGATAAGGACTCCGAAGTCAGACACGCATCAACACTATCTGAGACCTCTGATGAGATGAGATGATCTCGTTTCAAAAACGTTGACAACTGCTTCATGTGTTGTTTACAAGACAAAGAATCAAACCCGTCAGGAAACCTTCTGTGTGTCTACGTGTTTGGAGCTCAATGGTATGAAGCTGATCCTGTATAGATGCAGCCGGCTGCTCCTTCGCAGACTCGCTTCGTTCATCTACTTGTGACTGCAGCGGCATGGCTTCTGCCTCAACACAAAGAGGACAAGGGCCAAAGGACTTGGAAGGACTTATATAACCTTATATAGACTTGGGCTTGGTTGGACTCATTCAGTCGTTTCTCAAGATCCAGATGTCAACTTCAAAGTGGAAGTATGAATGAATGCTAAATCGTATGACATACCATGCTAGGCACAACATACTTTTTTCATCTTTTTTCACTGTATGATCCATGAAGGTGTCAAAACCTGTGTCCGAACTTCATTCTCCCAAACATCCGCCTTGTGTACTGATACTTGAGATTGGATGGCAAGATCTTGACTTGGCTGGCTCAAGCCCAAATCCAGCGAGAACGGCATTTCTTCCTCCAGGTTTTCATCTGGTTCGCAGTCCTGCATTCAAGTGAAGCGGCTGAAGCGGTTCCATGTATGGTCAAAGCTCTGGGCAAAGAGAGGCTGCGGTACTCCAGCTGCCATCACAGAAGTGCTCTTGAATATCGGAGGGTAGATCATCACCAGTAAATTGTGTGCTTCAAGAGTCTTCAGGAAGCAATAAGACAACCACATCAACCACCACGCACTACAGTCCAGAAGTCCTCTAGGGTCTCAGGAACTCGTTGCTGCCGCAGTACCAAAGGTGATGTAGCCTCTTCAAAACATGCCAATCAAAATAGCTCAACTGTGCTGTGCAGAACCGTCCTACACAAATCCTGGTGGGGAGAGAGACACTTACAAGACTCTGTCCTCAAACGTGTGCAAAGCAGAGCTGCTGCTTCACTAATGAGATTCCACAAGCTCTTGTTCAAACTGGTCCAATCCATCTACATCTCGCTCCAAAAACATTGTTGTGCTGTTGGGCGCTGGAGACGGTTCTCCGAGCGCTTCAAACCCTTCAGCTCGTAGATCATCTTACGTGACAACTGCGAAGTCCACTACGAAGGAGAACTTTGACAGAGAACAATAAAGACTATAGTGACTGGGAAAACAGCGACGAGGGGTTGAACACCCCGAATGGTGGAACTCTTAAATACATATATATATATATACACATGATGTGACATTCAAGCAGTTCAACCCAAAAACTGCATTTCTGACAAGTCTGACAAGTATCACACCGGCCGATTGAAGTATTTGTGTCCAGGACAAGGAGCCAAGTTGAGGTCCATGTGAGACTCTGCGTCTCTTCCTTGCGCAGCACCAAAGCTCTCTTCAGGAAAAGCCTTCGGCTCAATCAGACTTCTATCATTCCAAGGATGTGATGTCTCACACTCCATTCACATTTTCTTCAGAGCCAGTTGGGTTTTTTGTCAGCATTCTTTTCGGCAAAACAAGGAGGCATCCCTATGCCTGGTGTTGTGCAAGCACTGATGCCTCAGGAGCTCCCACCACTGCCTTGCAACTGCAATCCGAGGGCATTTCGAACAACTTCTAACTTCTAACTCTTCCACAACATCTACAACTTCTATCTCCTGTAACTTGGCAAGGTCGAATCTGTGGGTTTACCTTCACCTTGGAAAGACTTGGACTAGATGGTCTTTACAAAAATTGTTCCAAATCGTTGCGTGATCAGGGAGCGCCACTGGTTAGCATAGGTCCGCCCGCACCTATGGTGCTGGATCATGTTAGTTTAGTGTCGAGACCAACCAGTCAATGCAATCGCAGGTGCATATTGAGCAGGGGAGGGAGTATTTTCGGAAGTGCCAGGCCGCCAAAGCGCATGCGACTGTAGTAATTTCATATAATTTCACCATTTCTCATATCGTCAGAAAATCCGCCAAATTTTCGCTGTTTCGAGCCAACATCTGCGCAACATGGGCTCAACCTGGGGTCAACTTGGGCCAACTTGACCCCAACTTGGTCTAAGACTTAAGCCCAAGTGCGGCCAAGTTTGGCAAGTAGGCTTACAAGTAGGCCCATGTTCCGCCGGCCCCAGCTACAATACTCCTCAACTTCGAAGCCATCTACTAAGGCCCTACTATCACAGCATGGTGCGGGCGGTGCTCGTCGCGAAGCGACTCGAATGGAAGCTATACCGAATGTCCAGCCTCACTTCGCTGCACTTTTGGAGGTGTTTGGCTCACCTCAGCTTCGCGCCAAAATCAAAAACATATTTTTTACAAATGTCTGAGGAACTAGAGCAAACTTGCCGGAGGTAAAGAACCCATGAAGGGAATCTATGTCTTGGTCGGGCTTCCTGACAAAGCCTGGTGGTCGAAAAGTAGACCCTGCGGATGCATTAGGATCCGTCTGCACTTTGCATTTTGATACGATGGGTGATTGCAACATGACACTGACTCAGATTTGACTGAGATTGGATCGACAGCCAAAGTGATTTACACCTTCATTCCATGCAGCAGAAGAAAAGTCCGCTCATATACACGAGATTATGCACATGACAAGCCCTCATCAGGTCCTTCAGTTTGACACCTTGTTCCAGAATCGCATGCAACCCAGGATAAGTTCAGCTTCAATTCATCAGTCCTATCAAGCCGACCTACACTTCTGACAAGAATCAATGTGGTAGCGACGTGGAAGCTGAGTGCACCTGGAGAGTCTGGAGAGCCAAGAATCAAGAACTTTGCAATAGCTGGACTATGCTGGACTAATTTGCAGCTGGGCCAGGATAAATGCCCTTTGGAGTATTTTGGAGTCCAGTCTTACCGTCATGAGTAGCTGTAACTCCGAAGCGTTCCGCACACAATGAACCCCCTGCAAAGTTGGGTCCAGCCAGGCATCGCATAGTATCGCTAGATATTAATTCACTACGAAATGTGTGCAGCTCCTTCCACTCCCAGGCACAACTCCAGAGATGTGGGATAATATAGGTATGAAGCTATATGCATGTGTAAATGTATACCTGAGCAGGTATTTGATATATGAAAATGTATATGTGCATCTATGCATGTGTATGCATATACATGTATAATTTGTATATGTATATATGCAGATCTGTATACATGTACAATTATGCTTTGAGTAAAAGTGTCCAAGGAAAAGAAAAAAAGATATCACGCAATTGGATCAAAGCACGAGATGGAGTCAGCCGTTGGAGGCACACTCTGAGACCAAAGCCAGATCTTGTCCTCGTGCGAAGAGTAGGGTACCAATGGATGCACAAACTTGGTCACGTTTAGTCTTAAAGCATCTGCTATCGGAGGTTTATAATTTTGAATGATTTTGACGCATACAGCACAAACATCTAGCGGGAGCTAATCTTGGTGTGGTTGGCTGCCTTTGTCTGGCGCATCTCTTGCAATGGTCATGTTCTAGTCCCCTCCTGAGTCTTGATGTCCTCTGGAAGCCAAAGCGCCTGATCCATTGGAACAGAGGAAGGTATTACCCCATGAAGGTGTATGGTGTATGAATGGAACAAATTAAAATCTGCTGATATCTTGCTGGATGCCTTTTGCATCCCTTTCGTTGAAACATTGAAACCATGCTATGCGTAGCTGTAGCCCAGCCCACAATGGCCTGGGAGAGACCCATGTCAACGAGATTCATTGGTCCGGGACCAGGCTGCGATGGGTCGTCATCCACTACAATCCTCAGATACGGCACAAGAATAGACACTGCTCCATGTGAAACTTAGCCACAGCTCAGATTGCCAGCATTTGCCAACTATGGTGTGGTGATAGAAGGTCAAGGCTTGAAGGAAAACATAGTTTCGGAATGTTTTAATATGTTTTAGACATCGAAGGTTTTAAGCAATGCGACGTCCTTCGAACATCAAAGCCTCTGCCCAGACACACTTGCGAATTTTGGGTGGCCTCAATGGCCTCCGGAGTTGGTGGGTCTGGCTGCCCCAAGGGAAAGCTGCTGGATCGAGGGCTGCGGCTGCGACTGCGGCAGGACGCCCTTGAGGCTTGAGATACCTGGCACAGCACTTCCAGATAGACCGACAGTTGAGTTGAGACAGTTGAGGTTTACTAAATTTTGAATTGCAGTTTTGGTTTTTTTGGGGGTATCTCCCGAGTTTTCGACCCAAAATTAACCCTATCGCTTCAACAGAAAGCATGCGAATCAATGCGGGCCTGGCTGAGAGATCTGGCTGGAGACCAGCGCCTGGAACTCAACAGCTTTGTGCTGGGTGTCCGTGTTGAAACGGGTCACTGCAGAGCAGCCCACATCTACGTAAAATGTTTACTGTGAAAAAGTGCGCGGCTGTATCAACGTTGGAGTTGCGATCGAGGATGGATTCTGAAGAAATAGTGTTAATGTCAAGTGTCATGCAATCAAACTGGCAAGGCATAGCTATCTGACCACATGTTTCGGCCACACCAATGTCTTTTCATCCTGAATTCTGGGTAAAAGGGCAGTCATTCTAGCTCTTGATTGACATTGTATAAGTTGTGCCGAACTTCATCTACCACGACTATCCTTGAGTCCGAAAAGTAACAAAAGAACATGATTTGGCTGAGGCTCAGTTCGATTTAGCAGCTCTTGCAGATCGCCCTCCCACCACCCAAGGTCCTCCTTGTCACCGGGCTTGTCTTCGTTGGCGTTTCAAACGTGGAACAGCTGACGGCAAGTGGACCGCCATACCTCAGGAGGCTTCAATCGGCTTGCCTCAATATGGAGCTCTTGGGCCATTGGGGAATCTATAGGAATCTATATATATATATATAAATATACAGTATATATATATATGTATGTTATATAATATATATTATATATATATTATATATATATACAGATACATGTTATATGCTATTTATATGCTGCTATTAGCATCTACTAGCTGCTGCTGCTTGCGCCCCAACTGCTGGTTCTGCAGATTCCACCTAAGCCAGCACCTTGTAGATGATTGCTCGCCATGGACATGACAAAAACTAATGTCGTAATAGTAATATGATTTAAATTGATGTAATATGTCATAATGACCGAGTTATGCTTGTTCTACATGTGTCGCCATTTCTTTCATGATGTGATCACAGCTTGCACTGTGTTCCACTGCCGTCAAGGCGCGATAAGAAACCTACAGAAGCCTGCGAGCCCAAAGCTGCGCTCTCGTCACCTCAGGGCGAGGGCTCTGCGCTGATCCAGTTGAAAGCTGCAGGAATCAAGAAGTCCAAGTTCGTTCAATCTGCCAGCTACGAAGTATCAATGCAAATCTACGAAATCTCTGCATTCGAGGCTTCCCCCTGGACCAAGTATCCACAACTCTTGTCTCTTAACAAGTTTGCATTGCTTGCATCACACAGCATCACTGGCACCCAGTTGGTTGGATCAAAATTCTGCGAGGAAAGCCCGACAGCCGTTTCAAGGCCACGGCCCTCACGTCTCGGCGGAGTCAGCAATGCGACGTCCGTCCTGACCTGGAGCGACCAGTGACACTTCTGCACGATGTTCGCTGTGGTTCGCTTTGGACAATACAAAAGGACAGTTCACGAAAAATACAACCAGTAATAACAAACATTCGCAGGAAATTATAGAAAACGAAGATTCATTGCAAGCAATAACAAAGATTTTTTGGTTTTCTAATTAATTCTATCTAATTCTTGGTTTTCTACAGTTTTCTATTTTCTTCTTCCAACTCTGGGAACTCTGTCATCTCTTCTCGGTGCCTCTGCTGTGACCTCCATGGCGCTTCCAGCTCAACCCAGGCGTCCCCGCCCTTCCCAAATGTCTGGGCATAAAAGCTTCGGCATGGACAAAGGGACGCAAGTCGGCGCAAGTCTGGCGCGAGTGACCCTTCCAAGATATTTTGACTGCAAGATTCTGCAAGACTCTGCAAGACTTGTGGCTGCAGTCAAAAATGAATGCAAGTCGTCGCAACTTTCTGGAGTTGGGACGGGTTTCCACCCAAGAAGTGGGTTCTTGTCATCTTTAGGTTCTTTTGTCAAGAATGCAGAATGCATTCGGTTGGCGACAATCCAACAATTCCTTACTACAGTGTATCAGGCTTGAAGTCCTCCTTCTTACACCAACCTGTCTGACCTTGTGGAATAAACATGAATAAACATGAATAAACATGAATATTGGCTGGAGTCCTAGCCCCAACTCAGATGCAGAACCGAAGTGAATCCCAACGATATCTGCTTGGTTCTTCCACGTGTCAACATCCGGTCGCGGCTCGCCTCCAAGAAATCGCCCAAGGAAGCAGGGTTCACATCCAGCAGCTTCAAGGGGCTGCCCTAGCGCACACTTCTTGATTTGCTGGTATCACAATGTATCACAATGTATCACAAACAGCAATCTATCGAAGTTCTTGCACTTCTCTGTTTCTTTAAAGCACACGTCCACATTGCTGGAAGATCTGCTTGACAAAGCACTTGATGATATCCTAGTTGCCTTTGAAAAAATGGTTGTGCATGAGGATGTCTTCTTTCAAAACACAAATATCAATGTAGCGGATGCAAGTTCATCATATATTTGTCCTATATAACCTATATATTCAAAATCTTGAAAGCAAGCATTCCTCCTTGTGGGATCTGTTGATTCTCAGGTCCCGCCTGATCCTTCGAGCCTTCATCCTCAGGTAGATTGGCCAGTTGCTTCAAAACCTCAGTCGATTCAGGTGCTGCGCCTCAATTGAAATCAAGCTCACTAGTGGTTGATGGCCTGAGCATGGACCATATAAGTGCAACCCGTTCAATTCCAACGGCCCTTTGCAAAGGCAAGGTCAACCTGATCACCGCAGACCTTGGCCAGACTTTGGCACTGTAGTACTGTAGGCACTCAAACATAGCCTGCAGAACCTACAGTGGACCTACAGCCTGCAGCCACGGCCTCCCATGTCTTTTTGTCAGCAGGTGAGCTTTGCACAGCAGCTGGTACTTTGCTGATGGCAGAGGGTCCTAATCATTTCCTGCAGCGGAATCACTGGAATCACAGTGCCAGTGGGATAATGTGGGATACATGGTATGGGCAGGGAGTATGTCTATCCGTCTATCTCAAAGCAATCAACGGTGACAAAAGTTGGTAAAATGCGGCTTGCATTGCAACAAAATCACCTTACTGACATGATACAAAAGCTCAAGAACAAGATTGGTTTGCAAACTGGATCTAAATTTCAAGTCATTCTTTGCAAGTTGATGACATCCCCACAAGAACTAGGATTTATTCGGGATTTGTGATCACAGAATGAGATTCTTCTTCTAATTCAGCCGTTTCACTGCTTCTTGAAGGGTTGGATGCCCGGATGCCCCCTCCCGGATTGTCCTGTTGGGCTTCATCACTGTAATATACCAAAGGCGATAAGAACGCATGATTTGCCTTTGACAGGTTGAACTCCATCACCGGCCCGTCACTGGACCATGCTACACCAGCTCCAATAGGCGCAGTAGGCGCAATAGGCGCAATAGGAATGCCAGATTTCACAAAGGAGGCCAGGTATCCAGTGAATAAAGCTCGAAAGCTCTGCAGTTCGTCTTTGGGAAACGACCTTCGATCAGTCCAAGTTTCAACACAAATCAAAGAAACCGCCGAAATGATGTCGACATTTATTGGCAACAAAAACCAGGGATCGTGCCCAGCCAAGAACTGTAATATCTCAAAACAAAACTGCCTTCGACTTGTCACGGACGTTCCAAGACAAGAGACACAAATGGTGATGACTCATGAGGGAAAGGTTGTGGAGCAAAGTCCCTCCCTAACTCCATGACCTTACAGAATATATCAGTCAACATCCGTCAACCGAGCAACGAGTCAACATCACTGCGTCCCATCACCAAGTCGAGGTCTCCACCATGACAGGCTCCACACCAGCCACCCAGAGCATCGGTGTCCATCAAATAGCGATAACGCGGGCCTAGCTTGTAGCGAATCACGAGAAAGGAATCAGGCTCATGTTTTCGAGCTGGCGTCAATGGCAAGTTTTCTGACCTACATACCAAACTTATTTTGAAAAATCGGCATGATATTCATCTTGATCTGATTCTATTGCCTCATGACCCGAGATAAGAAAATAGGATCGTATTGGGTCCAAAGCCTCGTGCCTTGACCTGGTCACCTTCTCCAGTTCCAGAATCGCCGGGCTTCTCTCCACCGAACTGGAGAAACCATGAGAAACCATGAGAAACTGCTATCCGGCCCCACCCACCGCACTGACCGGACGGACCGGACTCACCGAACTGCCAAGGAGCCAGGTCCTCTCCCGGCAAATTCTAAGCCGAGGGAATAGACCTGCGTTGCTTCCTGAAGCGGTGCTGCGTGCTGCGTTCCGTTCACAAGTTTGACAGTGGATACCTTTGCCAGATACATGACATGGCTCTCAACGCTGCATTGCAGGTGTTGGAAAGCATTTGCATCACACCTTTGATCAAACATCAATCCCTCAAACTTCCCTGCTGCTGCCGCCTGAACCAGTCTTACATCTTTCAGTCGAGAGCAAATCTTCACGTTCGAAGGACACTGGGCACCTTCAAACAGGTTGGTCGAAGTGCTCCTTTGCTCGAAGACTGGGTGAACCCGGTAGCGGTGGGTTTCACAAACCAGCGCATCTTCACTGTTCCCGACAGTTCCCGATCGAAAACAACAGATTTGCCCGCATCTTGCAAAGAACAGTTGATCCCCTTACAGCCCCCTCAATTCAGTCCTGTTTGCTATGGTATAGCAATACATACTTCGGTTTTAAACATGATCCTCCAAACACCCGTTTCTTGTTGGGGTTGTCTGGGAGTCAGTCTCCTCAAGCAAGAACGCTGTTGCTCTCTCCAAGTCGGTGGCAAGGAATCCTGAATCATGTGGCTGAAAGGTCCCTCAATACAACCTGGAGTTCACCTTTCTCCCCAAAGTCCAGCAAGAGGCACGAACGTGGGAAAGATCCGAACAGAGATGTTCACAAAAATGTTCATTGGTGCACCTAAATGTGTTTGGTAAACCTTGAAAGGAACAACACCTTTGAATGTCAACATGGGTCACTCTATGTCCACTCGTGCCTGGAAAAAACGTTCCAAGTAGCCAGTGGCTGGCGTATCCAAGGTGAAGGCACGGAATTCATGCGCCATAGCCCCCAAAATAATGGGAATGTGGCCTCAGCGTTACAAAATCACCCCACGATATCGATCAGATTTCACAGCCCCGTGTCCTACATCCTATTGTCAAACCATCAAACTATTTAAAGGCACCTCAATGATTCCAAAACAGAAAGGATGTGTATTGATTTTCCCAAATTTTCGGGTTTGAACCCGACTCAACCTCAAGGCACCAGTTTTCAGTGAAACCATGTAAGCATATGAAAACCATTTGGCAAAGCGGCTTTGGAAATTCCACAATTGCAATTTGTTCCCACCTATTTTTCGTGTTGCAATGTAGATTTTTCATTATCACCAGTAGTACCGCACAAGGCTCTGGCGGAAGTTTCAAAGATAGGAAATCATAGGAAACGTGAGTTGTCCTCATGCATGGATGGGAGAGCAAACCCACTGATGGACCGAAAGGAGGTAGCTGAGGCTCTGAGTCTAGTTTTCTCCCTCTCTCTCTCTTTCTCTGCCTCTCTCTACCTCTTTCTGTTTCCTTCTCTTTTTGTCTCTATCTATCTATCTATCTATCTGTCTATCTATCTATCTATCTATCTATTTATCTATCTATCTATCTATCTATCTATATATCTATCTATCTATCTGTCTGTCTGTCTGTCTATCTGTCTGTCTGTCTACCTATCTGTCCATCTGTCTATCTGTCTACCTATCTGTCTGCCTGTCTATCTCTCTATCTATGTGCCTATCTCTATCTATTGTCTACCTATCTGTCTATCTCTTTCTATTTGTCTATCTATCTGTCTGTCTGTCTGTCTATCTGTCTACCTACCGATCTATCTGTCTGTCTGTCTGTTTGTCTATTTTCTATCTATCCATCTATCTATCTGACCATCTATCTTTCTGTCTATCAAACTGACCATGTATCTATCCGGTTTTTTCCTGACTATCTGACTATTTCACCATCTATGTATCTATCTGTCTATCTATCTACCTATCTGTCGGTCTACCTATCTGTCTGTCTATCTATCCCTGTCTACCTATCTATCTCTAACTCTATATCTGACTATCGATCAATCTAACTATCTATCTAACTATCCATCTGTCTGTCTATCTGTCCACCCGTCTATCTGTTTAGCTGTCTATCTCTCTATCCACCTATCTCTCTGTCTATCTATCTATCTATCTATCTATCTATCTATCTATTCTATTCTAATCTAATCTAATCTGATCTATCTATCTAATCTATCTATCTATCTATCTATCCATCTATCTATCTATCTGTCTGTCTGTCTATCTATCTATACATCCATCTATCTATCTCTCTATGTATCTCTGTGACTTTGCCTCAATGTATCTAAGTATCTATGTATCTATGTATCTATCTGTCTTTCTATCTATCTATCTGTCTACCTGGCTATCTGTCAATCTGACTAGCTGACTATCTATCTATCTATCTATCTATCTATCTATCTATCTATCTGCCTGCCTGCCTGCCTGTCTGTCTGTCTGCCTGTCATTCTACCTGTCTGAGTCTAAATGTCAATCCATCTATCTATCTATCTATCTATTTATCTATCTATCTATCTATCTATTTATGTATCTCTGTGTCTTTGTATCAATGTATCTAAGTTTCTATGTATCTATGTATCTGTCTGTCTTTCTTTCTATCTATCTGTCTACTTGGCTATCTGTCAATCTGACTAGCTGACTATCTATCTATTTATCTATCTTTCTATCTATCTGTCTCTCTATCTATCTACCTGTCTCTCTATCTATCTGTCTCTATGACTGTCTATCTGTTTATCTCTTTCTATCTGTATGGATCTATCTAGCTACCTATCTATCTTTCTTTCTATCTAAAAGAAAGCAATTATGGGAAACTTCCTTCAAGAGTGGAAGTTGACAGGCCCAAAACGCAGCAATTCTGCGAAACGTCCTTTAGACATGGAATTTGACACCTCCAAAACGAAGAAATTCTGCGAGACATCTTCAATTTTTGACTTTGACAACACTAAAAACGAAGCAATTCTGCGAGACTTCCCTCAAAAATGGAAAGTAGAGTGCAAAGCACGGGCTCGTACCAATGCGTTTTGCGATTTTTTCAGTCCATCTGTCTAAAGTACTGCGCCTGCCAGGAAAAAGTGACGCCAGGTCATACGAAGTGCTGCACATGTCACGCAAAATAATGTTAGCAAACCTGAAGATCTGATGCTCCCAAATATAACCCCTCTCAGGAAATCAGCACCCTGACCTCCTAACATCTCTGATGCAAATGTCTCTTGTACTGCGCCTGCCATGCAAAATGCATCTTTGCAGGTCCTGATCCTCTTCAACCGTCCCACACCTGCCATCGTTTTTGAAACTGCACCTCTGCCTCCGCAAAGGCACTCTCCGCCGGTGTCTCTTCAGCCATCAAGTGCAGCGCTCCGCTGTTTCCAGGGATCTTCTCTTGCACGCGCTGAGGAAGGAGCTTGTTCCTCTGTCTTTATCTTGGCGTTGACCTTGGCAAGTAAATTCGTGGTTGGAGTTCACTTTGCGCTTCGTTTCCCGTGCTGCTGCTGAGCTCTTGGCCTTGCGTTTCCAGTCCTTCTCCAGCTGCTCGAAGCGGTGCAGCTTGACCATGTCGCGCTCACGTCGAGTTTTGGGCACAAAAGGTTTTCGGTTTTCCGGTGCGCTTCTGCGTCCTTGCTTTTCTTCTCCAGGCTCTTCGCTCCCGCCGTTTGGCGTTGCGTGCTGCATCTTTTTTCTTTTGCTCGGCCTGCGGTGAAATGGGCGCTTCTGGCGACTGTAGCACTTGGATTTACAGCGACCTGCGCCTCTGCCTTTTTGGGCCGCGTCTTCTTTCTTCTTTTACTCTTGTTTGCGTTCCTTTTCTGCGGCTCTTCACACAGCCTTTTCCTCCTAGCGCAAAGTTTTTGTTTGGCACCTGGGCGCACGAATGTCACCGAGTGTCGCGTGTGCTTTTTCGACAAGTCAACTGCCAAAATCGCTCCAGGCGTGAAATGTTTTTAGCTTTTTGACTTTAAATCTGTTTCGCGCCACCACGGCGTGTAATTTTTGATCTCGCATCCCGCCGCTTTAGCGAGCCTACTTTTCGAGCCTCCGAAGCCCGCGACTTTTCTACCTCTTCGCGCACCTTGATCTTCTTTCTACTGACTCTTTCTCTTCTCTGACTCTTTCTCTTCCCTGACTTCTCCCACCACTGTTGTTGCATCTGTCCATAAGTCGGAAGTTTGACTTCTAAAGTTCCTTCGATTGAAATTTGAAGTTTGCCGCTATCAAGCTTATTCAGGGGGTCATGCACCCGTCAAGAAACCGTTCGGCACAGAAGATAAAGCACAGAGTGGTTGTCGCACAGGTTCTAGTAAGACCTCTCCTGGTGAGCATTGGGTCGTTTGGACAAGTGAGCAACGAACTTGACTCTGTTGTCAACATCTCGTCGTTTCCGGCAAAAGAAAGTTGTTTTTTCCATTCCAGGTTTTTACAGCTTTGCTGCTGCAGAGGGCCAATGTAGTATAAGCGGACAGCAGGGTTTGGCAAGGCTGCGGAATCCAACAGACTACACGGGATCATGTCTCCCATGGTGATGCCTTCTCAAACTCAGCTGAGACACCATCATAGCCGGAGAAGTACACGTTGGGCACATTCACAAAATCCTGAAACTTCGAGGGTGCGGTGGTTGCGACAAGATCTCCAAGGTGTACTCAAACATGGTAGAATTCCAAGGTTCCAAACACTCGAGGGGTGGTAACCAACTTGAGGCCAGGGGGGAGGTACGAAAGCTAGCAGGGCTGGGGTAGGGTGGTAATCGCAAAGGGGGAGGTGAAGTCGGAATGCGGCAACGGTCTCACGTGGTTTTTTGGAGTTGCTGCAAGTCACAAACAGTGCCATTTTTTAATGTTGATGAAGTTGCTGACCAGAACGATGAGGAAACTGATGATGACGAAAGTGATGGTAACAGGAATTGAATGAGTTGATGACGACGATGATGAGGACGAAGAGGACGAAGACGATGATGAGGATGATGGGTATGATGAGGATGATGAGGATGCTGAGGATGAGAATGAAGATGAAAATGAGGATGGTGATTATGATGAGCAGGACTGTTGTAGGGTTGCAAAATCTATTGAGTCCAGCAAGCGCAAACCCCCAATGCAGTAATCGTCTCTTGCCAAGTGTTGTAAGCAAAAGAAACGCAATAAATAAAAAATAAAATAAAAAAACAAATGGAAGCCCGAATCTGCATAAAGATGTTCGAGACAGTGCAACATATGAAACATATGTATGATGATGATAAGGATGATGATGAGGATGAGGATGATGATGATGATAATGATGATGTTGGTGATGATGATGATGATGATGGTGATGATGATGATGATGACGATGATGATGTCGATGTCGATGCTGCGGATGATGAAGATGACGATGATGATGACGATGATGATGATGATGATGATGATGACGATGACGATGACGATGACGATGACGATGACGATGAGGATGATGACGATGATGATGATGATGGTGGTGATGATGATGATGATGACGATGATGATGTCGATGTCGATGCTGCGGATGATGGGGATGATGATGAAGATGACGATGATGATGATGATGATGATGATGGTGGTGGTGGTGGTGGTGGTGATGAGGAGGAGGAGGAGGATGAGGAGGATGAGGAGGATACTCCTACCTGCTGACATTATTCAAGTGAAGCCCTTCAGAGCTTCTGGGGTAAAACAAAAGCGTGTCTTTGCAGAATGAGTTCATGTGTCCATGATCCGATGACCATACTGTGCTCCAGTCGGTTGGAATCGCGTGGATCACCATGCAATTGCTAGGCCGCTAGGCATAGGCTATGTTTCAGTCAAAATCACCAGTCCGCATGTTGCTGCAAGTTGCTTCTGGCAATGTTTAAGTGTAACTGTCAAATGTTGACAATGCATAAAACGGTATGATAGGAGATCCTCACAACCTCGGCAGTGAGTTTGCGACGCTCCTATTTCGTCTATTCAGTGCAATGAAAGGCATTTCCGCGCGATAATGATGTGCAAATTGAGCAAGTGCAATGTCTTTCGAATGCAAATGAAATTTAATTAAAAAAGATAACCATGTGCAATTCTTTGGGACAGGACAGGAGAAGCCGTATTTTGCTCGAAAGCGGCGTGAAAAAGTCTTCGAGTAGGTGTGCCGCCATGCTGGCCTTATCCCCGAGATCGTACAAATGCTATGTCTGATATAGATACATATACATATACATATATATATATATTATAATACATAAATATATTATATATATATAGTCTATATTATAGTCACATATATCCACATAATTCCACATATAACACGCAAGCACAGTCTCGGCCAGGGAACTGCCGCTTCCAAGTAGAACATGCACTTCTTGGCCAGTTGAAATGCATCCATATCTTCCAGGCAGCGCAAGGTGGTGCATCCAGTCGCTTGCATGCACCGGACGCCAAGGGTCTCCTTGACCTCGCTGAGTGGTTCCAAAGTAGTTTCTTTGACAGGTATGGTTGGTGTTGGTAAACTGTAGTTCGCTCTTCAGAGCCAATGTACACAGCAACAGAGAAAGACCATGTGGCGAACAATTGCGAACGTCACCAAATTTCATGTGAGAAGCATCCCTTCTTCTGCTAGCAATGGATGGTATAAACATGTATAAACCATCACAAAGTGGAGGTTTATAGGTTATATGGTTTATATAGGTACGTCTAAGAAACTATTTTGGTAGTTGAACTGAACAAGCAAGTCCATCTTTTAGGTCAACTTGATTCAAAAGAGATTGAAAAACCAAGAGGAAATGTCCCTGGGAAGGCCTGCATTCAAACCCTGCACAATCATCAGCCCGTTGACTCAAGGGGATCCTGCAGTTCCTGGGAACTACATTTGTATATATCATATTTATATGTAGCAATGTATATGTGTATATGTGTATATGTGTATATATATATATATGTATATATGTATGTGTATACATGTAATATGATGTATCTATATATATATACATACATGTGTATAGATATGTGATATGGATAAATTGTGGCAGCTGGACCTGCATATCAGTCATTGATTACACCAGCTTTGCAACTCAACAGCAGTAAGGGTTCCTTGGATTTCCTTGGTGCCAGGGTTGTACTCTCGATTTGAATGCTTTGCATCCGCGATGCACGTGTCTCAGACCAGGCATTAAGTCATTATTAAGACCCAACAAGCACTGCTGTTGGGAACTAATCGGCTTGACCACTTACCCGAGGATCTTCCCTCGCTCTGCCCAGTAGCCATGGACAGGTTGGACTGGAACATTCCAGGGACGTAGCCTTTCAAGGTGGCAAGTAGGTTTTCAAGGTGAAGTTCCCAAGCGTCTTAAAAAAAATGTCAACCTCACTTAGTTTTGTTGCCAGCCACTTGCGCCCGACAAGAACTATTTCAATGTCTAGACCGGGGCCCCGCACGCAAAGACTCGCAAGATTGGGAAGTACAGTACAAAATGCTGATTTCTCATGGGGACTCTGCTTCTTGTCTCACACTGAAGAGTTTAGTCCTCGCTGAAACACTGCAAAGCAGCCGGGACTCATGGCAATTGCACGATGGAAGAGCCCCACGGCCATTGGTGACTGGTAGAGTGCCACCACTGAACGCCCTCCTGCCACCATTTTCACCATCCGTCCAAGTAGAAAGGCAAACTGAACAATTCGCAAACATACTTTAGTGCTGAGTAGGACAGCAAATCTAACTGAACCCTTGGTGTGGACAGCATCGCTGAGAAAACAGACCGCAGACAATCCCATTCCAAAATGCAACGATAAAGTCTCTCTGGCTGCGTTACCTGTATTGTAATGAGTCATGAGGAATCCGTCACAAACCTCTGAAGTCCGCCAGCTTAAACCCAACACTGCCTTGTCATCCTCATGCCTCAACCTTTTATTTCAGCCTGTGGCATAATGTGACCTACATCTACATAATCATATCTGCTATTTCTGTAAGCACCCTCTCAGGGTTAAGTGCTGTCACAAGGATTCAGTCACGCCACCTGCAGATTGGCCCCAAAGCGTCACTTTCGAGGCATCGCCGGAAAAGCTTCCAATATTCTGCTGGATCCACTGAAGAGCAGCTATCTGATCCCTGAGGCCTTGCAAATCTGCTTGGAGATCTTGGCAGCTTAGTCACAGCAAGTCCGAAGTGATGAACATTGAAGCACAATGATTGTGAAAACAGATTCAAAGCTGCAACGCAGTACAGATTTCTTCTCAACTTACGTTACATTCGTTACATGTGTTGCTTTGTTTTCTTTCAGTGTTCCTCCTCTGTCTCTGAATGGCAGTATGCATGACACATTCAGCTTGCCCGAATTCGGCACTGCGCCTCGATTGGCAGGAACGATCTCTGGCTCTGGAGGCTGAAGAAAGCCAAACCTGGTCATCTACTCGAGCTCAGCACAAATCAGCTTCAAATCCACTTCAAATCAACCTCCTTTTCGAATCCTTTCCGTTGGTATGTTGATGTTTTCTTTATGCGTTTTGTTTGCACGCCAAATCAAGTGCGGGAAGAAACACATTCAGCCGATAGTTGATGGCCACCACCACCGCATCCGCTTGAAGGCCCTGGAACGCCGTGAAAACATGAGAAAACATGACACAACATCGCCCGCTAATGCCAAACTTGTTCAAAAAGTAACACTCCACCAAACCAGCAGCTTAGCCAGTCTTGGGCTACAGTGGCTACAGTGAGCAGAGTAAGATTTCCAAGCTGTGTAAAATTGACATGTCACAATGTCCATTTCAGCCCAGGAAGGTCATCTGCAGAGTATTTCGGTACGTTTCGGTTGGGGCGTTGATGAGTCCGGCCGCTACTCGTAGTGATGGATGCATATGGGATAATTGTGATGTGTTTGGTAGCCACCATATGCCACCATCACATATGTTGGATGTGTCCCCACCGGACCCGGCATCTCACGCCGGCAAACCGTTGGACGCTAGATTTGGATGGCTTGACAGTAAGAGTCTGGAATGGCTTGGAGCTGTTCAAGAGGGGATTTGGAAGTCCAGATATCATGACTTAACAGAAAGCTGAATTCTGGTCTTTTATGGGCAGGGTGTCGACAAGTGACTTTGGTGTTTCTGTGCCCTAAGGCCCTGACTCACTAAGGAGGGTCAACTGAGTCGTCTGCCAAGGTGCGATATAGTTGAGGTCACCCATCGGGATCTCGCCGGAAATGAGGAAACCACCATGGACAAAGACCAAGACTGGCCTCTTCCCTGGGTCAGCTTCCAAGCGGAATTAAAACAACATGTAACATGTTCCTTGCTCAGTTGTAGGGTAGCTGACACTACTGAGATCCCTGAGGTGAGCTTTTTGATTGGACTTCAGCCACCCAAAGCACACAAGTCACTAAGTATGATTGGATTCATTTAAATCATTTAAGTTTGGTCATGGAAAACCGGACAAATCTGGACACTCTGCCAGGTGACGAAGGCTTGGCCCTGGTGGCACGAAGACAGCTAGGGTCAAACAATCCTGCAGGGGCGGGGCCAAGACTGCCTCATAGACGTGAGATGGCGATCTCAGCGATCTCAGAAACAAAAAGATATCATTTCTTTGTTCTTTGTGGCATTTTGTGAACTGGAGAAGCTTCAAATGCCTCGCTCGATATGGACAAAGGCACGGTGTTTTTGTTTCCCATTTGGTCGTGTGACGTCACCAATCCCCACCCTATAGATGGAGATCCTCAGATTTGCAGATGAGACGTGAGGCAAATCATTTGCTACCTAAGTCCCATAGGATCCCTCGCCCCGGCCTCAACGCCATAGACCCCCTTGACGCCTCCTTTTTGAATACAGGGTTCATTCCGCACTGTTCCGTCTATGACCTCACTGGGCGCAGCAGTATACCTTGGATCAGCCGTCGTTTTTTTTGATTTTCCCCATTTGAATAATGCCGAAGCACAGTCCGAATGCTTCCCAAAAGACATTGCAAATGACAAAAAATGACAAAAAAACTGAATGACCTTGAAAGTCTTGAAAGTATCACACTATGTCCAAGCATCACAAGTGGAGCCCCGAAGCGGGACAGGGTGATGGCATAGCGTAGGTTCGTGTAAGCCAGGACATCGCCATCCGGTGTTGTGAGGTTCCAACCGATGACTGTGGCACCTGTCACAAAAGCTCCCTGAGGGGCTTGACACTGCATTTTCTTCATCGGAGAAGCTGAACCAAAATCAAAGACTGCACAATCTGTCTTCCAAAAGAAGGTTCCAGAAAGTTGGCACCACAAACAATCTAAAACTCAAGATGATCTTGAAACATATCAATCAATATCAATCATATTATTGAAACCACAGGACCCCTAATGTGCGAAACTGGCTCAGTTTCACATCAGTTTCAAAGTTTTTGGATTCATGATGTTTCTTGTGCCTGAAGGCAAGGTCACCCGTGGCCGCTGCTCCGCGTATCCCCGTCCTGAGTTCTCATAACACATGCCAACTAGATTAACTAGAGCAACTAGGACTAGGCAGTGTGGCTGGTGCACTCTGTCACAGCAAGATTCACATCATAAATCTTACAATTTCTTACAATTGCAAATGCATTGTCTCTTATCCATTCTTATCCATGATACTTCAATGAGGCTCCAGAGATCCAGCTCATTGTGATGATGCAACAGCAACAACGCCACAAACCTACGAAGCACATGTAACGTGGCAGATTCCTAGCAGTGCTTTGGAGATCCAGCAAACCCTCTTTGAAGCCACACAGAGCTCAATTTTCCCGACAGAGTGTGCCACCAGCGGGCCAATGGCAAGCGCTGAAGTCAAACGAAATATCCACCATGCGCTAATGGCCCACTGATACATCCTGGAACACTCAAAACAATGATTGTGACAATTGACAACATATCCTTCAAAAGCGGACCTTTGATACACGAGCCACACGAGAATGCTGAGGCCACCGGTTCGGAAACAATGAGCCCTGCATGTGAAACAAGCATGCAGCAAAGTTTTTTCGAAAAATAAATCTTCCAATATCTTCCAAATACCAGCCATCTGCGGGCAACCCCTGGCAGCCTCGGGGTATCGGTTCGGTTTCAGGATCTTGCCATGGCCCTTGAGCCAAGGCACCCAAGGCACAAAGGTCACACTGAATGCAGCAAGACTTGGAGAAAGGTTTCTTATGGTTTCCTTTAATTTGGTACAGCTGAAACATGGTGAAACTCTATGAACTCTATACCATAGATAAAACTAGATGAAACTACACTTACTCTACCTGAATCTACATGAAACTCCATGAAAGTACAATGCTCCCGATTTCCCACGAGAACTTGCACAGACCTCAGGGATCCGTACATGGCGCAGCACTTCGGCTCCACCAGGAAACTGCACCGCAGTTGCGAAATTGGACTCGAGAAATGAAAGAATCCGACTGAAGCAGTTCCACAAATTACGTCGTGCCCCAGCAACATCAAACTCAACTGGACTCATATAGAACATTATTTTGATGGATGATCTCGGGAGTTGCAAATTGATGCTATAGAATCCTATAGAATTTGGTTTCTATCACGTTCACCATGCACATGATTTGATCTTCATTCTCAGCAACAGGATGGAAAGTCCTTGGTTCGTGAAGTACCAAACCATGGTAACCATGCCCATGTTGATATACTTATATACCCCTGTGATCCCCTGTGCAAATATGTTTGTTCTCACTAGCAAATCAAAACAGGTCCCTGGACTTGCTTTTTGACATTTTTTCATAGACTCAAGAATGCGAATAGACAATGAACAACTGGGTACCTGTCAGAACCTCAGCTGTCTCCCACCTTCGGCAACCTCAACTTCGAAGTGCCCTCCTGGCAAATGCAAGGTGTTATTCAAAAGAAAATCAAACCCCCTCTTGTTCCAGGCATATACCTTCAATGAAACATACACCATACAGTCGGGGGCTAAAGTCACAGCATTTTTTAAATGTGGGTAAATCGTTTGCGGAAAAGTCGTTACGACTGGCTCACAGCAGGGTCACAGCAATCCATCAAAACACAAGGGAACTGCCTTCATTGGAAGGATACAAAATACCAGTATAACGAACACTAGAGAGCCCGCCCCTCGCACTCCAGACTACTATTCTGCGCTACCCAGCATTACTTTGTATTGCAACAAAATCATTCTGCAACACTAAACCTGTCAGAATGGATTGATTCGAGACGAAAGATAGGAGTAAGACGCGGTGAACACAAGGAAATAGATGAAAAGAGAAGAAAAAGTGACAGTGAGAAAGCAAAAGAAAGAAAACATAAAAGAAACAGAGAGAAGCAAAGAAGAACAGAAGGAAAAAAACGGAAAAGAACAATACGTATCAAGGAGAAAAAAATATAAAATGAAGAAATTGCATCCTACAAAAATCACAAATGGTCAGTTCTTCCCAAACACATTTCCGACCACTGTTTGTGCCTCAACACGACACAAACCTAGTTTTTCCATCCGTCCTGCTGCAGCTGCAGCAACAGCTCGGAATCACCACTTTCATCACAGGGCACTTGTTCCTCACTGGGTGTGTGTGTGTGAAAAGGTTGTGTGAAAATTTTGGGGTTGAAAACCCTAGCAACAACTAAGTATCATAAAATCAAAACCAAATCTGGGATTTCATTACGATTTTAGTCCAGTTCCTGGGCAATTGGGGCCCAATGGACATGTGAGACAGCAACTAGTCAAGAATGACCAATGCGTAGTGTTGAAAACCCAGATGGTTTTGCAAAACCAAACATCCCTGTTTATTAATCTATGCAACAAGCATGCAAAGGAGATATTTGAGAGAACGTGTCCAGTTGCGTAATGTTAAAAAAATGGTGCCACATGATCTTGGACACCAGCAAAGGTTCAGACCAAATGGGGCACCGAGTCGGCTGAAAGAACAAAAAAATGTGCCAACATGGCGATATCTCAAAAGTGTGATTTCTATTGCGACAAATTCCACAACGAAGAAATGACACCTACCATTCAGGATATTTTTTCCGAAATGTTGATGTTTCTGATTTTTTTTGAATGACCCACCCACGCATCTGTTTCGCTCCTCGTCCAAAAGCAAGATGATTTTCATTCCCAGAATTCATGTACATGTATGACAATTCAGGTTGAACGGACAATTTCACGATTTTTCGTGGTTTTAATGAAGGTTAAAGTGACAATTTCACGATTTTGTGTTGTTTTCAAGTTGCAAGTCAGAGCGATAATCGATTCATCCAAACTCCACTCATGAAATAACCATGCACATCATGTTGAATGACTGCAATTTGCAAATATGTGTGGTTTGTGTGGTTCGGACGTTTAAACTCTGAAATGTGGCAGAATGGAAACCGGTTGACCGGTCATCAAACATGTGGGAAACTTGTCCAACATCCCATTGTTTTGCAAGATCTCACATTGGAAACTGCTTTGACAAATCACAGGCCAAACACACCAAGACAATCAAATGCCAATGCTATTTATCAAACCAAACACGGGACCCCTGAGAAAATTCAATTTCACTTGCCGCTTGAAGTGTTGCATTACAATCCCACCACAACTACTTTGTGATCAAACTGTTGTTTGTTTGGAATATTCGTGTTTTCGTGTTTCCACGGGCGTTGCTGCCAAAATTGCCACGAATGAAACTACACCACCCAAACCATCAATGAACAGCTTAACAAGGGGGAAATCCGCTACCCGACCACGTTGTCACGCCCCAAAAAACAAGTCGGCCAAACTGTTTAATTGAAAATCTGTTGATCCTCAGAGCCTCTGCCACAACATGCATTTGTGCAATTTTTAACAGATACTACACCTGCTATGTCACATGGCTGAGTGCTCCACAACGCAACTTGGATGTACTGCTTACAGCGTTAGCATGAAGCACCCCGCCTTGCTGTTTACTTTACTTCAACAGCATAGAGTTGAAATGGTAAATCCCTAAGGAAAATTCTGAATTCCAAGGTGTCTGAGTACTGTTGCAGGGACGCAGTTTGTAGCGTGCCTCTACTTGCTGGACTCTTTTGGAGACACTGTCAGATTCACCTGTTGAAACTGCTATGCTATCTGGTTATGTCTCTGCATCGTCCTCCATCTGCTCGGATTCTGAAGTTTCTACATTGCCATGATGCATAACCATCCAGGTTTCTGGATCACTGACTTCGCAAAGTTCAGAGTTTCCATACCTGAAGGCTCTTTGTGATTCTGTCTCCATCATCTCGTCTGAATCTTCATCCTCGCTTTCTCCAGCTTCATCCATCGGGGGATTGTCAATGTTTTCCATCAAAGCACGTGCAATTGAATCCACATGAGAACTGTCTGAAGTTGTTGCTCGTTCAATTGCCACTGCGTTCGCCAAGCTTTGACCCACCTCCACTGCATGTTCAACCTCATCCATGGTGTTGCACAACTGAATCCAGCTTGGCCATAGCTTGGAGACTCCTCATCGCTTGAAAGGTCTGTCATGTTCCTGGCCATGACAGCTGCTGACAATCGAACTGATTGATCTCCAGACTTGCAAGCATTCATCACGTTGCAAAGCAATTGAAGTCGCTCCTCATACAATTGCTGTCGTTCCAACGAAGTTGCTGTGGATTTTCTGCGCAAACACCTTGAATACATAAAGGTAAGCATGGCTTCAGGGCTCCATGCAGTGTAGGGCTCTGGCAAATCACCTTCGTCTCTCAAAACAGGCATCTCAATTGGATCTCGAATGCTCGTGCTCGAGCTTGCAACATTGCTCGAAGGAAACTCGCTGTTGGCAGCGATGATTGCAGCACCAATGTGGGACATTCTGATTGACCCATCTTCGTCATCATCGATCTCGTTCATAGTTGGTTCCTCCAAAACAGGAGTGTCATTGTCTTGAGGGCTCTCTGCAACTCTTGCAAACCAATTGAAAAACCAAATCATTCCAACTCCAACGCACAAGGTGAAAAGCAAAATGAAGAGGTTACAGCCATCTTCCAAAGTTAAATCACATCCTTGTAAATGAAGTTGGATCAGGCTCAAGGCGCCAGCAAGGGCTCTGTGGTTGACCCTTCGAACAAAAACTCGTCCTGGATCATCGGCTCCTTCCAAACATCCATTTGATCTGTTGTACAAACCAAGCAAACTCATCAAAGATCTCATTCTCGGGGCAGCTAAACGTTTTGTTCCGATGTCAGCGGGATTCGAATGGCCGCTGATGCTGCATAACTTCAGACTTCCATTTCCAACCATATCCTGCAACCACAAGATGCGGCAACTCAAGTGTCTCAAACGTCCAACTCCCCTTCGATTCAAGATTCCTTTGGCACCACTGCTGTCAGTGTAGATGTAGATAAGGGTTCTTTTGTTGGTGATCCATGTCAACAACCTGGCAAGTAGGATGGCGTCACTGGCTCCACTGCTGCAAGCGTAAACTTCGGCTTCAGCTGATGACAACGAAATGATCTTCTGAGTCCTTGATGCTGAGTATATCAAGCACTTCCCAAACATCACAATGCAACAGCTTACAGACCTTCTGCTGACACGGTCTGAAGCCCAATCAGAGTCAGTGAACACCTCCAAAACATGTTCATTTGGATCCACGTTCGGATAATCATGGAAAATGCCAGTTGCTTGACCACCCCATTTCAAAGACACGCAACGTCCTTATAAACTCTTGCTCAACCAAATATAACAAAGGGGGCCCCCCAACAAAAGAACCCAGGGGTTCAACCTGGCTGAATTTGTCAAGGTCTAATCGGTTTTCATTGTCATGGAGAAAATTCATATACAGCAAGGTCAGTTCCACGATTTGGCTGAAAAGCTCATTGGAAAAAAACATAGCAAAAGTTCGGGAAAACGAAAATGCTGGAGCCAAGTGCTCGAATTGACCAAATGTCAATGTCCCATGTGGACGCCTCGTCAAACATGACGAGAGAAAAACAAATGCTGACCAACTGTCAACATTACAGTAACATACCTGATATGTATATATACATGTCCCACATGGACAAGAAACAGAGAGAGACAGGGAGGGAGTGCAAAGCAAGGGGGGGACAAAAACAGTTGGCCAACTGCCAACGAGCACACTTGAGGGGAAACTGCATCATTCACATATTACGCAGTGACCCCAGATAACAAACATTCCACAAACCAGGTTGAATGTTTCAAACAGTTGGTGTTTAAACAAAACAGCAGTTAAAAGAAACACAAGCACAAAAGTCTCTCGCAAACACAGAGTGTTTCTTCACGCCACCAACCCCTCCTATTTTTTTTTTTGGGGGGGGGGGTTCAGGTTTTTTTTTTTTGGTTGAGGTGGCACACGCCACACCTGCGAGTTGATAAGGTAACAAGGCTAGCGCCTAGTGAAACTTATAAACTCTTGCTCAACCAAATATAACAAAGGGGGCCCCCCAACAAAAGAACCCAGGGGTTCAACAACAAGGAGGGGGACCCAACATACTCATAGGCGTACCAGTCATACAAACATACAACCAAACCAAAACCACACAAATACATACGTACGAATATATACATATATATATCCACAGGAGTACGCACGAATACGCCAAAGTTCCGCAAATGAGATCACCGAAGTTCACAAAAACACACACTGGAGAAGAACGGCTGGAAATCAGTTTGTTTCGTTTGGACAATGGCGTTTCACTCGGTCACGCATGCTGTTCTTTTTTTTTCACGTGGGCAAGTCTCGATGTCACTGCAGCTATGGTTTCAATTGCATTGGTATGGTCCGCAGCGTTTCCACATGAAACGTCCATCACCGGCTCCATCATTCACTCACATACCAAAGCAAGACATCGTTCCCAAAGGAAACGGGCACACAGAGAATTTAACATTGTCACACATCTCAGTCATTCCCCACTTTCTTTTCACCAAAGATTTATTATTTTTACAAGTCTACAAGAGGGACTCCGGTCAGAGGACAAGTTGCCTGACGCCTCACGGCCCCAAGCTTCACCATCAGGTCATGGCATGCTCTAGATGGCTCATCAGCCGGGTTGCTCTGACTCGGGACCCTTGTGAACCAAGTCCAAGTCCGGGCTTTCTCTTCCATTTTCTCCCAGCACAGCAACAGCTCTCGGACAGGTCTGGATCCGGAGGTCCCCTTGATGCATGCATCCATCGAGCTGTTGTTATCAATAAAATAAATGGTGCGTGACCCACTAAGGTGATCATTCCAGAGAAGCCGGCTCACCAATATGGCATAAAGCTCCACGAGTCCTATGAAGTGGGAAAACATGGATCCCCATTCCTCAACCAGGCGCTCCGGCACTGCACATGAAAAATATTCAAACTTGTTGTCATTGAACATAACTCCACCAATAGTATGGCCAGAAACCTCGCTGGCTCCGTCAGTAAAAACCAATATGGGCCGCCTCTGGTCGCAGCACGGGATCATTCGAGGTTCTCCAGAAGAAAGTCTGTCCATTAGGACATGCAGTGATTCAATGGCACATCGATCCAGGGCGATGCTCTCGTGGCTTTTAATGGCGAGCCTGAACTCGTGCATGGCGATCCTTCCGACTCTACCCATGATCTGGGCATCTGCAAATTGTATACGGCCCAGGATCCGGCTAGCTTCCTTTGACGTCAGTGTGCCACGAGCCAGAATTCCATTGACTGTATCCGTGACCTCTGTCACCCTGCCGGGCTTATTCCTCACCAGGACAAAACCATCCATAGCTTTGCTAGTGTCAATCTCAACCCCAAGAACCGTGGCCCTTGAGTCAAAGGGCTTCAGTTTATGGTCAGCAAACTGGAACCCGAGCAAATCAAGTAGGAGCTTGGCCATGTTCATTGAGGAATGCTTCAAAATGCAAGGTGCTACCATTGGAAAATCGTCGAAATAATTTCCCCAAAGCAGTCCAGCATGGAGCCCAATGGAATGGATCAGCCAGGACACGCGGTTAAAGTGTACCACGCTGGCCGTCGCCCCAAATGGCAGCACATTGCCAATGAAACACTTGCATGAACTGTCTGAAGGATCCTTAAGGGCGATAACAGAGAGCCGCCTGCAGTCCTTGCTGATCGCAAATTGTTTGTATGCTGATGACAAATCCAAAACAGAAAGGAGAGGTCGGCCACCACCCTCTTCCAAATAAGCGGAGTGGACCTTCCCCTCCAGCAGGGTCCCATCACTCCTTCGAAATGAAATATATCCCAAGGCTAACGCACGGGTGATGGCAGCTGTCATCCACACGACCTGGTCTAAGGTACGCAAATCCAGCTTATCTGAGTAGCCATAGGCCGTGTTCACGCGGTTTTCTGCGAAATCGTCAATGGGCCGGAGTTTCATCCTATCACCCGAGGACTGAAGAACTGAGAAGCGTCTCACAGGTATCCATGGCTGTCCATTGAAAATATCATGAACTTGTTCGACTGTATGTGGGCCAGTCATCCAGTGATGGTTGCTCGCTTCCTCCATTGTAGCATCCCACAATGGTTGACTCTCAGTATCAAGAGCTGCACTTTTGACCTTGCCGATCAACGCAGGTCTAATGAATTTTGCACTGGCCCAGAGCTCTCCTTCAGAGGCTTGCGGTGGTCTGGGTTCAAGTCCAAAGACATTTGAAGGGCTCTGGATTCCGGTGAGTTTGAACCCTGCATCAATTTCGTCAAAAAGATTGGTATCAGGCCAATCCAAGCTGCAAGCTATCTTCCTGAGCAAGAGGAGCCTTTTGGGCGCAAGGATTTGCCTAACTCCCGGGTCAAGGCGCAGCTTGTGTTCCCTCTCTTGTGCTTCAAGCTCTTCAGCCCAACTCATCCAGAGTTTCATTTTGGAAATCCTAAAATTGCAAACATCTGCAGGGGACGTGGTCAATATGAAAAATAAAACATCAAGCATTTGATCAGGAACGGCATGAAAATTGTCAAAAGGGTGGTGCAACGTCAATGACCTGTCAATCCAAGTCATGGGAGTTCTGTAAATACCAAACTTCAGAACCAAGCTGCTCTCGCCCTCCCCCTTTTTCGAAAAACTGAGCAGCTTTGAACCACTAGGAACATGTTGGAGGCAGGCCGTCAAGCAACCTTTGGCATCGGTTGTGGGCATCGATGCAGCTATAATGGTTTCAAATCGCTCAAACTCCGAAATCAAGGGAGGCATTCGTCTTCCTGCCGGTTGTTTCTGCATGGCAATCATCCCTTTATGGTTGACTGCAACATTGCTGGGGTCGGCCTCAAACTTCTGTGGAAAAAGTTGCAAAGCATTCTGCACAATGGAAACCACCTGAACACACAACTGTTTGGTGTATGCTGCTTCATCACTAGTAGCATATTTGAAGGTTCCGTCACTCTGCCGTGTGCGCCCAAACGGGGCATGTTCGTGGTCACCAGGGCAGCGGGCTTGGATGCCGCACATTGCAGGCAAAGTTGAAAGGAAAGACCGTTGCAACTTCCGAGTTGACCCCCATGCGCATGTGTCATAATTGTAAAACCTGCAGGGCGTATCAGCAATCAAATTTGCAAAGCATGGAATAAGCCACAAATAGCTTGAAGTTGGGTTTTCAACGCTCCAAGGGATGTCCTGCAAGGTGCATTTGGTCAAAAACTTTGTCAGCCCACTATACAATGAATTTGCCAGTTGAACTCGCTCAAGATCTCTGCCTTCCAAATGTGGCAGTCCCGATGGGTAATCTTCACTACGCAACTGCTTTGGTCCCCCACCAGGACCAAGCGGGATTTCTCTGGCACGGCTGCATGTTCCGCACGGCGGTGCTGCATGTACAAAAACAACATTGTAATGCTCGATGATATGGTAAAGGAAAGCCCATCCATGCTCTGTCGACAGCTCCACATTGCAAACAGTGACATACGAGTGAAAACGGTTGGATTTATGGTCTATGGCCAAATGCTCAAAACCACAGTCCTTGAAACATTTACTCAAAATGGCAGTCCCTGCACATATTTCCATGATCAAAGGAGCGCCCCGTTTTGTTGTCCCCGCTTCAACGCCTTCAATGGCGGGTAAGCCAGGATCATCCACTGTTGCTGCACCAGCTGCATCTATTATAGAGTCACCAGCGCAAGTGTTGTTGGGTGAAACATTGCACTCCCTGAGTCAGCTGCTGCGTTTGTTTGGGCACGTCTGGAAGGTATGGTTCGACTGGAAGCAATTTTTCATGCAGCAAATGTGCATACCTTTCCGGCAGCGGCCTTTGGTCACGGGCAATTTGCAGCCATGAGGAAGGTTATGGTCGAAACATATGGGCTGGTTGTTGCGGTTTCCAGGTGCCCCGCCTTCAAGTCCAGCCGGCATCTTGATGGTAAGTGATCCACCGCCCTGACCCTTTGATTTTCCTTTGCCCTTATTCTTGGGCCTAGGGACCTTAGCCTCAGGCCTGTCGTGACTGGCATCGCTAGTCCTCTTGACTGACGTGCTAATGCTATTTGGCAACGGCTGCAACAAGTGTAAAACATCAGGGTGCTCCATGGTGGTCCTAAAAATTGCATCCAGTGGTCGGCCTGTGGCTGTGGTCTGGACGCCAGATCTGCTCCCTTCTGCAAGTTTGACAAACAGCTTTCGGTCTGCATTGATAATCTGCTGCATGCTGATTTTGGAATATCCGTCCGGTTGACTCGCAACCCTACAATCAAAAATCTTTTCAACCCACCTGTCATGCTCCAGGTAGTCCAGTAAGTTCGCCTGGTCAAAGGCGAGGCCTCGTCTCATCAAAGCCAACCTGACAAACATATCTGATGATAAATCTGCTTCCATTTTGTGTTCCTTGTCACGAATGCGGACAGCTCCACTTGCATCAATTGCAACATGTTTGTCTTCACGCTGGGATGAGTTCAAGACCTCCTGTTCTTTCGAAGTGCACCTGCTAAGTTCAACATGCTGCAGTCTGTTTTCCTCGTACAAGGACACTGCAAGGTCTACCAGCCTGTCGCTTGGTTCGAGTTTTCCTTCAATACGGATACCCTTCAGTTTGGACTGCTGACGTTTCAATCTGTCTGCACGTTCAGGCTGGGCTAGCTTCTTTACTGGCATGTCTTCGACCCGTTCAACTGAGTGCTTAAGCTCCGCTGCTGTAAGGCTGTAGGCCTCATGGAAGAGCCTCCTTAGTGATGCAAGTTGTCCAAGGGTTGGATCTGCACCTAAAGCGGTTGTCATGGCCGACACAAATGGGGCCTCATCTGAATTTCCTGGGACATATGCAGAGCTGAAGGCATACTTTGCAAGTGTGTTCACACCATTAGTGCACAAGGCTTCAACGACGTCATCTGTCAACCCAAGCGCAGCCGCACGGGCCCTGAAGTTTGGCTCGCTGTCGGTGAGTGACATTGCTAAATGAAATCCAGGCAACAAAAGAAAGATTCCGTTTCATGAGTCTTATTTCATCCACTATAAAACTGGGAGGACTATGGGTATGAAGTCAAACCTGGTGCTGGGATAAGTGGACTATGGGTATGGGTTCAAACATGGGGCATAAGGATGTAAACAGTTTCAAGTTCTGTGAAGTATCTTGCACACATACTTGCCCGGGATCCCAAATGGATACCCAACATGGCGTCAATTACGCCGCTTGAACCAAGCACACCAACCAAATGTTGAATGACCCAAGTGGTCTATGCCCAAATGGCATCTTCGGTTCAAATCATGTGCACATGCCAAGTCTGCTCATGCAGTTAAGCTTCGATTCCACAAATTTAAATAAAGCAAGGCGATCCACAAAGTTTGAGATGCATACATGGTTACAACTGAAACGTATTTTCCCAAACCTCAGCTGGCAACATCTCTGAAACATTGGCTGCACTGTGGCGACATGAATTTGGGCCTTCGTTCAAGTTCTTCATATTTACAATTCACCTCTCTGCCACATCGAAACTTGTTACCCCCTTCCTCTGCAAGCAAATGAATGTATCTGGTAAAACGATTCCTGAAAAGTGGGGCATCTTCATGAAGGCCCAGGGATTCCAATGTTGCATGCTCATCCCAAGGGCCTACGACGTGGTCCATGGCCTCTTCATTCAACAGCTGCTCTTCGAAGGCATGCTCATCATCTCTAGAATCCTCTGAATCTGAATCGCTGAAGTCAGTTGCCCTGTCATGCTCATGTGAACCACGTCCAGAAAGGCCCTGCTCAACATCAGGATCAGGTCGTTGTGCTTGCATCGGAAAATAACCAGATCGCGTGGCATCTGGGACAAAAGACTTTGCCCTGATCTCAGCAAGGCATTCTTCCAACTTACGGATGGGTCCAGCTGATGCATCTCGAGAATACAGAAGTGCCATCTTGTCTGCACTCGGCATGTGGTAACCCAAGTGCTGCCTGATACTGATGGGCGCCCCAAACTTAGCCATCCAACTGAGTGTCGTGGCCTTGAGGGAATGAGTTCCAATGTTCCCCATGGATCCACTTGGAATGCCAGAAACCTGCAATAACTGTCGCAACCAGTCAGCACCTTCTCCAGCACCCAATGGCGTCCTCGTCCAACCACTCTTAGAAGGGTATGGGAGCATTGGCATTGACTCACCCTTGGGTTTGCCACATCTGATACAAGCTTCTTGCCATGCACTGAACCAGTCAAGCCCAGTAACACCATAACGCGGTGCAACCATGGGAAGGTACCTCGTTTTCATTTCAGTGGTGTAGGCTGATTTTGTTCGACCAACCTTCCCTTCAATGTAACCCTGGGCAGTGCCGTCCACGATCAATTCATCCAAAATGAGATCCTGCAAGTTCATCATATCTGAAAAACGGGCCCTGAAAAATACACACAGCAAAAAGCACCCTGCAGCCACCCTGTCTCGATCTGGATACCTGTCTGCCATGACGACTTTCTCCAAGTGCTCAACTATGGCAACACTGAGAGGATCTTTCTGCAGGGTACGCCTTTTCTTCAGGTACGCCTCACGCGCACACCCTTCAATCCTTTTACTTGCAAGTACCAAGTCTCCACCTGTGACCCCAAGGACGTGAAAAGAGAATCTAATTGCCACCAAGAAAGACCGCAAAAATGTTGGAGCAGCAGTGTCAGCATGTTCACACATGAATTGATAAATCGTAGCCTCAGACAACGGGAGGGCAGAATTGCCCTTCTTGTCACACCACATGACATATCGCAGAATTGGGCTGGCACGTGCATGTAAAGTTCCAGTCGCCTTCCCCGCGAAAATGTGCCTCAAACCATCGCCCAATGCCTGCCCCATAGGTGACAAGCGGTCCCATTGTCTGCCAATCTCAAATGAGTTCAAATACATCATAATGATTCCAGCCCACTTCCGAATTGCAGCAACTCTCTGTGAATTCAACAAGGCCTCCCAAGATCGTCCTGTCACAGTCCTTTTGGCCCTGAAAACTCTCAGAACCTCATGTTTGTCAGGGCTGTCCTCTTCCGCCTCATGCTCAGGAGAGGCCGCTGCGATAACCCCACACGGTCTTGGGACCAAGGGTAAACTGCTGCCAGGAATTGAAATTGGAGGGCGCACAACGTAAATTGGATTGAAAATTGACCCCCACACTGCACGTCTCGAAAAAGCCAAATGTGACTCGAAGGCATCCATGTTATTACAGCTCATCCCCACTTTCAAATCGAAGTAAATAGGCAATGGCAGTGAAGAATCCCCAAATGAATGCCAAAAGGCCGCAGCAGCACAAACGTGAAAAGCCAGAAATAGACACATGCACTGATGAAGTCTGAACTGCGACACGGCCTTTCTGGATGGCTGAAGCAGTGCGAAAGGGTGCGGGCATGGAACGACGCAAGTCACAAAAACAGTTGGCCAACTGCCAACGAGCACACTTGAGGGGAAACTTGAGCCAAAATGGCTACGGAGCACACTTGAGGGGAAACTGCATCATTCACATATTACGCAGTGACCCCAGATAACAAACATTCCACAAACCAGGTTGAATGTTTCAAACAGTTGGTGTTTAAACAAAACAGCAGTTAAAAGAAACACAAGCACAAAAGTCTCTCGCAAACACAGAGTGTTTCTTCACGCCACCAACCCCTCCTACTTTTTTTTTGGGGGGGGGGTTCAGGTTTTTTTTTGGGGGGTTGAGGTGGCACACGCCACACCTGCGAGTTGATAAGGTAACAAGGCTAGCGCCTAGTGAAACAAACTACAGAGGAGAGTAGAATGTTCTGCTCGACTTCTCAGCTAATATCCAGTCATAAGCAGTCATAGCGCTAAAGCAGTTCGCTCACTGCTATAACCAAATGTCAGCAACAAGTCACAGACACAAAGATCATAACGTAGCTCTCCAGATCAAGTACCCGGAGGTTGACTACTATACGTAGGCATTGTCCTCACAATGCCGAAGTATCTCACATACTCAAATGCTCTGCTCGACTTCTCAGCTAATATCCAGTCATCAGCAGTCATAGCGCTAAAGTAGTTCGCTTACCGCAATAACCAAACGTCAGCCAAAAGTCGCAGCTACAAAGGTCACAAAATGGACTTCCAGATCAAATACCCAGAGGTCAAAGAAGATACGTAGGCATTGTCCTCACAATGCCGGAGTATCTCGCATACTCGCAAGAGGTAATCAATAGGCTTCACAAACATCTCAGATGTACGAAGCAACGTCAAGAATCGAAATGGATGATCCAAAAACTATCTCAGTTAGATTCATACTCCTCCAAGAGGTCAAAGAACTTCCAAGATCGATGGAATCATATCATCCCGACTCAACTGCATAGCGAATGCTTCTGGAAGCATTCGCTCAGTATCATAAAGCTAAATAAAGCTCCAAACTGTACTTAAAGTGTCTTGAACTCCGTGTAGATTCACTCAGACCCACAGGTCGATATCTCAAAGAAACTCCGGCAGCTTCAAATACTACAAAGCAATATCGAAACTGCTCAAGTCTGTTGCAGACATCTTCCCATAGTCCAGTTCCACTACCAAATATTTTTTTTCCGTCCAACGCCGTATGGCTTCCGCCAGGTCGTTCAACATGTTTCCAATCATGTTGCATGTGAGATTAATTATCTAATTCACGCAGGGGCCAAGCTGTAGGGCCGCAAAAGTCAACTGGTAGAGGACCGATACATAGTCCTATTTCCTTGTCACGTTCAAAGGAACAAGAACCGAAACACAAAGAACCGAACGCAAAAACAACACAAAACACAAAACACAAGCAAAGCAAACCACCCAAAAACAAACCAAAAAACACACAACCACACAGCAGTGACGTGACAGGTTCCAGTTATGGGTGAAAAAGAACAGTTGAGGCAAGAGGTGATAGCTTAGTATCATCTCGGCGTATGCAGATGACAACTTATGTGTCATGCTACGCAGGCCCATAACACAATACAACAACGTAACAAACACAAACACACCATGGGCCACTTGAAGGGTGCAGGAAGCAACAAAGCTCAATGCGGAAACCAGGGATCCCCCCAGCCAGGATCCCTGAGATCACAAAGAGCAGCCTTCACGGCATGACAGTCACCCTGACACTTTGAAGCAAACACCGACAAAGCCGGGTCACAACAAAGTGGTGAGAAAAACTACCGCAGTGAAACAGGAAAGTGAAACATGATCTAAGGTGAAAAAGACAGCGAGGCTACGGCATTCAGGGCACACTCAGTCCGCTCAGAACTGCTTTTCCAATCATCATACTGCATCAAAATTGGTTCAGGTAGGCATCATTGTGCTAGTGCTCTTGCAACTCGTCTTCATGGTATGGGAGATTGTACTCGTCATCAGTGCGTGGTGATACCTGTGCATTGAGTTCCTCGGACGAGGTGCTGGCTCCTTTGGCTGTATGGTGAAGCTGTAGTATGGCTTTCTGGGCCTGGGTTACTTCGTAACTGGCAGATATGGTACAGCTATCCAAGATACAGCCAATTTGACGGAGTTGGCGTATGGCCGCCTCAAGGTCATTCACTCTCTGGGATGGGATGTTTTGGATTCCTTGAAGCTTCTGTCGGGCCTTCTCTAAAAGTTTGGTGGCATCATCGACTTCGCTGGTAGTGACCTGGCAGAGGGTCAGTTGAGTGATGGACTGTGCAAGACGATGGACGGCGGCGTCTTTGATAGGAGTCGGTCGCTCCATTCCAACGGACAAGTTGTTTACAGGTTTATAGGTGGACTTAGGCTTCAGGGTATTCAACTGGTGTTCACAGTATTGCCACCTTGGTCGAGAACGGGCATGCGGTGGTGTGGTGAAGATCATTGGCCGGTCGAAAAGTTGGTTGATCGAAGGTCAAACGGCGACGGGCACCATGGCTAGATGTACTTTGACATCGCACTACACTACCATGCAATAATTAAGGTAGACCAACCCGAAAAAATAAAACACCTTAAAAAACCCAGAAAAGGATTATTATAACCGCCCCTCACCGCCTCCCGTCCCATACTGGCTTCGGCATGCTAACAGCAAAGGCAGTCGCAGCGGGCAGTAATCAACCATGAGTACCCCATGGTGACAACGCCGCTCAACCGAGGTCAACTTACAGGCCGAATGCATGGATGGGACACTGGGGTATTCTGCGTCACCTCATGTGGCTTACTGGAACTGCTCATGTGAGGTGTTGCGAGGGTCTCCACTGCTACTAGCACCACTGGCGGCAGCAGTGGCGGGGGGGGGATCACCGCTCTCCGCTGGTTTCATCATTTGGGCGATGAGCGGGTGGGTTCGCTTGTCACGCAGGATCCGCGTCATTTCGCGAGTGAATGCCGCAGGGTCATCAACCAGCTCCTTCGCTTCCGCCAGTGGCCTGTCAAGGACAATGGCAATGAGCATTTCGCCACCATCTTTGTGGATTATAGTTGGTCGGCCGGCTTGTATCTCGGCGAGGATTGCCACCGCCTTGTTTTCACACAAAGTGCGTTCCCATTCCTCCAGAGCTCTTTGCGATAGGGTGTCAGTCTGCGGTGGGGCTTTCAGGGCAGCTGGTGTCCCTAACGCTCGTAGGAAGGGGCTGTCGGGAGGAATGGGGGATGGGAAGCGCTGAATGGCCGCTACGGCACGTTGGACGTCATTTGCTTGCACATCATATGACGTGGTCGTTTTCTTGCTTATGGCAGGCTCGGAGTCAGCCCATAGTTGCTCCAGTGTATATCCTGGTTTCGGTTCCATATACTTTCGGTTCCACACTGCATGATGGGACCATTGAGGCGCGTCATGGTTGATTTCCACTGAATCCCTTTTCATGTCATATTCTTTGAGCATATCATCTAATTCTTGCAAGCTAGCAGCTCTGTGAATACAACATTGTCTGACAGCGCCATCGATGTGGAGTGGCCATCCCACAGGCATGTGGGAGTCTTCCAGGAGTCCGTCACCATTTTGCTCTATGATTGTACCCAACATGGGGACATCAATAGTTGCTTTGAGGCTGACTTGAGCACGTTTGCACTTCCATGTGTCAGGTGCCAATAGGCCTCTGCCAGCCAAAAGCTCAAGCGACGGGAACTGTGGTTGGTCATTCGCTGGTAACACCTCTTCTCTGATGACTAACTTCAGCCCATGTAGTGGCTGGGGTTGCTCCTTTTGAGGGTCTTGAGGTGATTGAGATGTGGTGTCCTTGGGTGTTGTGTCTTCAAACCAGGTGGGACGGACTGACTGGACTCCTATGGGACTTGCAGAACTAGCGGTTTTAATGCTTTCTCTGCGCAGGCTATGGTAGACGGGCGGGATCATCCATGCCGGCACAAAGACTGTGATAAACTGCACATTCCAAATGACCTGCAAATTCTGCGGCTTGACTTCAGGCGTGATACATCTTACCTGACCATCGATCACTCTGGTGTATGATTCAGCGCGGTCGAAGGATGCTGTGACTTTCAGGCCTAGGTACAGTTCTCTAAACCAGTATTCCTTGAGCATCATAAAGGAAAGGTGAGGTGCCCTCACTTCCAATACGTGCGAGGCTGGCATTAGAAGAGTGACCATCCATTCAGCTAAGAATTCAATCATTTTGGCTTCGAGTTTGGGGAGGATGGCTTGAACTGCTCGTAGTGCACCCGCGATGTCCGGGACATGCCTACGTGAGGGCAATCCAACTGTTCGCTTGGCATACTCGTCAGCAAAGTAAAGTCTGCACAACTTTGAGACCCACTGGCTCGGTTTCTCCATGTCTATGGTGATCTTAGCCAGGGGCCATGGGTCTGGGAGCGTGGATAAACAGTGCAATAATTCGGAGGTTAGGTCTGCTGAGATGACTGGGAGGGCTTCTCCTTGCGGGCGATAGTCAACTGCAGGGCCTACCGTGCCTTTGCTTTTTTGCGTGTGGGTGCGGGCGGCACTATGCACTGCTTGGATGGTGGTCTCATATTGACTGACCATGGCTCTTAAGTACTTGCATGCGCGGACAGCTGCTCTTCTTGTGTTTGGCCCGTCTTCGGGCTGGTTCTTGGCAGCTACTGCAAGGATGTCTCTCGCCTCTTCTTCTGGCGACCGTTTGGGTTCCGTATCAGGTGCAGGTGCATTGAGAGCGGTACCTTGGACTGGCGCCTCTTTTGCGCGCGGCAAGTGGTCTGGGATTGGCAACTTCGGGTGTAATCGCCATCCATCAAAGAAGTATATGCCAGGCAGGGACAGGATCTCC